ACTGTGGACAAATAACAATATCTAACTTCTAATGCGGTCTCTCGGTTCCTATATTTGCATCTGGGAAAGTTTTACATTTGTTATGAAAAAATAAAACTATAAGAATTATCCGACAAAAACTGGCCTGGATATTTAATTTCAAAATTTGCAATTTTTGATGTCATTTCCAACTTGCCTTGAGGGATCGGTTCATTAAGCTAGAATAATCCGAGGAAACAAGTTTAAATAAAGTGCAGCAAAACATATGCGTAATTCAATAGGCACAACGAAGTTATATGGCGTCAACATCTGGTTTTTCCTTCAGCTAAGTCGTCCATTGCATGAGCATTACTAAGGCTCAGTGTCCCGCTATTATAAAGAGGCCTTTATGGGCTTAAGTAAAGTATCACTTCCGTTTGTTCAGTTTTACACAAAATCTAAGAAGCTTTTTATATGAATACAGAAAGCTTAAATATGGAAATTTTTGGAAGTTTCTTATAAGGGTTGTCGTGGTAAAAAAAATGCTTCCCACACATACATACATACAAATAGACAGACATCCTTGCAAAAATAGTAAAAACATGTTGGGGGGATCTTAGTTCGGGCTCATTGACTGAAAACTCACTACTGAATTTTTGCAGCGAAAACATTACCTTCCTTACCTATGTACATAATTCGAGGTAGGTAAAACGAATATTATGGATCCGTGCTAGCTGGACGCTCGTATTACAAGAGCATGAAAAGCAGAATGTGATAATTCCTCACGTTCTCCTCCACATAAAGGACTACATATCAGAGGCACAATACTCAATCCTTCAAACACAGATGGTGACGAATTATTGTTTAATACAATTCGGGCGGCATTGTAAAGAAACACAGAGTAAGAGATCCCGAAAAGTCAAGTATGTTCTTTTTGCAATTCAAACCCAATGATCTTCTCGCTGCGATTACCAGGTGGACAAAAATATCGTGACACATACATGCACATAAACAGATAGACATCCATATAAAATAGTTAAAGGGTGTTGTGGAGACACGTCCGTTACCTTTGCATATAGTTAGGCGAGAGGAAAAATTCTGAAAAACATTCGTATTAATCTTAATATTTTAGCTCAATAAAATACACATGTACAGAGGCTGTTCACATATTTTTTAGACGATGTATATTGTATTCACAAAACTAAATTACATACAATTCTTGTGTTTTAAATGTTCTATTTGACATCCCTTATTCTGAACTATCTTTCGACACCGCAGTTTCCAGGATAATAATGCCTTTTGAAGTGGCAGAAGAGATATTCTATCCCATTCCTCCCGAACAGCTTTCCAGAGTCCTGTTAGGGTTTTGGGACAACGTTTGGATAATGCAGTTTTTAACAGTCCGAAAGCACAAAACTCCACTGGTGACACATCGGGAGATTTAGTAGGGATATCAGTGAAGGGTATATACGGCCTTGATACCAGTTTTTTTCCATTTCATTTAGGAAATTTACAGTAGATTTTGATGTGTGATTGCTAGCTTTGTCCTGATGGAGTCTCACAGATGGATGGCACTGTGGGTGAAGCGATGGTATTTCATTCAGAAAAATTGGCGATAAAATATGTTCCTGATAATATTTGGAGTTAATCTTGACATTTTTTTTTTTTTTTTTTTTTGCACGCTCTTTATTTTGACTGCCACTATAAGAAAAACCAGCAACAATCACGAATCCCTTAGAAAAACTTTCTTTCGATTCTTTGAACCATGTACTTAAATTTTTTCCTTCCCTTTTATGATTATGAATGGCTCTTTTCTTTTGTTACAATCATTTAAATACGCCCATACTTCATCTATTCTGACAATTGTTTTCCATTTTTATTTGGATAAGTGTTTCTCATATAGAATTGCAGCGTGTCCTGCGTTGAGCGATATGCTTCGGAAGAAGACAATGCACATTGCGTTTCTTCGCTTTCTTAAGATTTAAATCAACGTTTATCATTTTGTTTACAGTGGACACGGAGCATTTTAATGATTTTGCAACTGTCCTTTGAACTAGAGGGATTTTCTTTTAACATTAAAACAACGTACCTTTGCAATAGTCGAAGATGTCCGTTTTTTCCTGGATACTTGTTTGGAATTTTTGTCCCACTTGAGGCTCTAATTTGACTTTTTTTCCTTTCTTGTTGATGATATTACCTATCAACGCTTTATCACAAAACCATGGCTCTCACATCGTTTTTGGATAACGGAGTATGCCTATTTCTCTTCGGAAAGACCGTAAATGTAGCCTTTGAACCACTGCTTTGTTAAATTCGCCATTTTGAATAAAAACAAAACTTTCAAGCCACAGACGATAATTTTGACTTTTAGAAACATAGTACAATTTCAATTACTTCTTTTGCAGCAAACGAATTTTTATTACCGCTTACCGAAATCGTCTAAAATATGTGCGAACAGCCTCTGTACAACGCAACAAAATACAGTCATAATGTATCACAGTAAATCTACATCTGAAATGAAGGAAAAAAAAAAAACTTCAAAAAGGAAAGGAAATCTATTTTGCATGTAACAAAATTTTAATTATTCTTCCTTGTCCTGACAATAAACATGCATTACGTTACGAGTGGAATATCACTGCCATCGCTAGACATATTATAATCGTAGTCAGTCTTCTTCCCTTATTAATGAAATTCTTCCTGTGATCTCTAGCAAAATCAGCACGTGTTTCCTCCGGTGCTGATATTTCCCCGGCTTTATGAAAGAATTTGTGTTATTAATCGTTGTGTTCGTGTTTTCGTTAGCCGTTACATAATTCTCTGTAAGAGGTTGCCAATAACATCAGTTCACGTTGAAACATTCAACGCGTTGCTCATTAAACTTATGTTTGATAGAATGACTCCGCAGTTTCATGGCTAGTTTCATTACCTTCATTTCATTAAATCTGCTTTTTGAACCGGATCATTTTCACCAAGTTCTGCGGGATTAGGAGTCTCAGGGACAACCTCTACTACTTCATCTTCACTTAGGGCTTTACGGCTAACAATTCATTACTATTTTCAAATAATATATCATAGAATACTTCTCCACCAGTTGTGCGTGTCCTTGTAATTACACCAAGAAATTCGGTCGTATTAGGGAGGGTGGTACCTTTGCTTCATTCTTCGCCACTACATGTTATGCTATTTATTCGTGCATGCGTGTACTGCTATGCCACAAGTTACAAATCTTTTTCTTACAGTTTAGACTGTAAGGTAATTTCTCCCTTCTTTCCGCATGCCTTAGTTGTCTAATTGAAAGCATACTGGACGCGTAGTTTAGAGGTCTAGGGTTCGAGTCCCGGTTGTTGCTAATTTTTCACGTCTCCTGCTTAAAAAAAGACCTAACGACTCTATAAGACTAAAAAAAAATTAGAAATTTATAAGATTAATGTTAAATCAAATGACAAATTATCCATGTCGTTTGATTATGTTATGTTAAATATATAAGGTATTTCTCCCACTTTCCTGCGTCCTTCGTGGTGTAGTGGTTCAGCACGCTGGGCCGGTATTCCAGAGGTCCGTGGTTCGATTCCCGGCGAAGGCCGTTGCATATTTTTTCTCTTTTCTGTTTCCAATTAGCCTAATGACTCTACAAATCAAACGACACGCGCTCATATTAAATCAAATGACACGTATAAGAAAATGAAATATTTATTTTGAATTCAGGCTAAATCAAGTTCGTGTAAAAACATAATTCGATGTAGTGAAGAATCACTTACTAAAGAGAATTTACTTTCTAGAAGCCTCTTAAAAGAATTTAGAATTCATGTATGTATTTTTACTAAACATTCTTCATATTCAAATGTTCAGTACTGACATTCGTCATGTCCAAATTTTTCATCGTTCATCAAGTTCGTATAAAAACAGAATTAGATGTTGTGAAGAAAAATTACTAATGAGAACTTACTTTCTAGAAGTCTCGTATAAGAGACTTCATGTATTTTTACTAAAACTCGTCATGTTCAAATGTTCAGTACTAAAATTCTTCATATCGAAATTCTTCATCGTTCATTAAATTAATGTAAAAACAGAATTAGATGTAGTGAAGAACAACTCACTAACGAGAATTTACTTTCTCGAAGCCTTCTATAAGAATTTAGACTTCATGTATTTTTAGTAAAATTCGTCATGTTCAAAATGTTCAGTACTAAAATTCGTCATGGTTCATGAAGTTCGTGTAAAAACAGAAATAGATGTAGTGAAAAACAACTTACTTACTAAGAGCTTACTTTCTAGAAGCCTCGTATAAGAATTTAGACTTCATATATTTTTACTAAAATTGGTCATGTGACTGAAAGCTTCATAAAGTAATTTATTTGATTCCTTAATTTTTTCTTTACTTGGTTGTTTCGACCCACCGTCCTACAAGATATTAATCAAGAGATGTACAGTCTTGAATTTCTTTTGGAACAATATGGAGTACATTTTATGAAATAAATCTTTTCCTTTTGTTGGAAACATGGTGAACAATGATAAAAAATATTTAAAATTTATAAATCGGAAATATTTAAGTACCATTTTGAATTAATAATGAAAGATAAAGACTTTTTTCATTACCAGGTAATGAAAAAAGTATTTATCTTTCATTATTAATGTTTTTATTATCAATGTATTAATTTATTATTAATTGTATTTATTTTTCATTATTAATGTTATTATTAATGTATTCATTCATTATTAATTAATTTATCTTTCATATTAATTTATTTCATTAATTAATTATCTTTCATATTAATCTTTCATTATCATGTTCATTATTAATGTATCTTTCATTATTAATTATTATTAATGTATTTATTTATCTTTCATTATTAATTTATCTTTCATTATTAATGTTTTTATTATTAATGTATTCATTCATTATTAATGTATTTATATATCTTTCATTATTAATGTTTTTCATTACCATGAGTAATTCAATATAAATTATTCATTTGGTCAAATGATATACTTATAAACCGTATATTTACTCTATTACAAAAGGGAAAGAAAGCATTACTTACATTCTGCCCCACCATATCTATAGGCAACTGTGCGTATTGGTCAACGAAGCAGACAGCTCGCTCCTTGAACTTTTCTATGATGTCATCTGGCCACCATTGAGTCAAGTTGCCCACTTTATCGAACTTCCTACCTGGCAGAGAGATCAGAGCTTAGCTCGAGTTTAAAAATATTGCTAAACGCTTCATAGAACTAAAAATACTGCCAGAGTTATTCTATTCGAGTTTAGTAAACTAAGTCAATAAGTAAATTTATCGGGAAGGTTTCAAAAACTGAAACTTTTAAAGCTCATTTAGCTCAGCATCAAACTTAGTGAAATGCTTATTTAGCCATGAAAAGCAATCGCTCGCATTAATTAATGGCCGACCCAAACATTTCTTTTGAGAATTACAGATATTTAAGAAGATGCACACATTCTGGCTCTTTATTGTCTTTATTAGTCGAATGGGGCTTTGTCCCTGAGGGACTATTGTTTTCGTTTTGCGATTTTGCGTCGAATCACTCTGAATGTTCGTTTCACTTTTCAAATTGTTGCTACCAACTATTATCGCCTGTATTATATTTGAAGAAATAAATAAAGAAGAATCTACATAAATGTATGTATGTTTCTCGCATTGTGATAAAACAAGGGTACCTAGAGCCATAAATTTTGAATGACGTAATCCTACAGCGAATAGGGCATCTGGAAGCCCAAATTTGAAATTTGAAATTCGTTTTATGATCGATTTCTATTTTGTAAAATTTTAACAAATTGTCGATTAACAAACTCGAGGATTTCAAAGCGAGCAATGGCAACGCTGTACAAGAAAAATTTTTTTATCTCCAGCGTGTGAGACTGCGTATCGGAAATTCTAAAGATATGCTCAATTTAAAATTATTTTGCGGTATTGCTCTTGAAATGAATTTTATGGTTTAAGTGAGAAGAACATCATATTTAATAAATAAAGGTAACACACAAAACGTTAATAAAACGCCCCTCTAGACGTAATTAAAAAAAAATCTGAAAAACTTTCAGATTTTTTTGTATATAGTGCCTAATTTTATGCCTTACTATATATAGTATATACTTTTATATATACTTATATACTTTTATATAGTGCCTTACTATTTATGCCTAATTTTAATTTAAATTAATCTGTAGTTAAAGCAATACTTGCTACAACTAGCTCACGGATCGCTAGCTAGCTCACGGACACATTTTCGATAATTCTAGTAAGAATATTTTCTCAAGTGATATTGAAATGCAAAATCTCAAAGTAAACTGTCGCAGACAGTTTTCATCTCAAATGTAGTGTTACGAAATGTACAGGCGCGGTAAAATGGCTTCCCCGCAAAGCAGTTTTAGGGTTGACATAAAATACCAAGGAGGGAAGGGTTGCCACATTTGGCAAGAAATCGTCCATTTGGCGACAAAATTGGCGATATGCCATGGACGGATGGAGAACCTTCTGGAACGAATTCTTACCGGTTTAGCCCAGAATGTTCTCGAACATAAACCAAAAAGCTATATAAGCCATGCTGGTCCGCAGTCAGTTAGTGTGTGTGTGTGCCTCATCTAGCGAGCAGATAATCAGTCTAAGCGAATATCTAGAAGTCCATCGTCAAGTTTTGTCTTAGACTGTGCTGAGTCGAGAGCTATACTCTTGTGTATCGTCGAGTGCATCGTGTGGAGAATCTCGAGAGTACTAGGAGTTCAGAGAACAACCAAGCAGAGTTGGAAGCTGTACTCGGGTGCTTTGCAGTGAAGCTGTCTCCACCGTTATTGCCTGACAGCGTGAAGGCTGTGTCACTGATTGTTCCAACGTGTTTATAGTAGATCTCCGATGACTGTAAAAAGTGTTATTAGAGTTGTCCTGATTAACATTGTCTAAATAAAGTGTGTTTCGATACTTCATCAAGTGTCGTCGTTATTCACTCTAAATCTACAAACCCCGTACGAACGTGAACGAAGAAAATAACGCAACAACAACTGGTGTCAGAAAAGGAAAAACGTAACAGTAGAATTTGTACAGCTTCCACCTCAACAAAAAAATAACCACTATTAGTTCGATTCCTGTCCGAAAGTTGGTATTGTTTTTTTCAGCTTACTGATGTAGATTTTTATTTTATAACATCATTTGTGTTAAAAATAAATGCAGTAGTAAGTTTGCAAATGAATTTTGGATAACTGCAATCGAATAAAAGTTATAAAGCATTCACCACAAATTCAAAAGTGTAGAAAAGTGAATATCACTCTCCCCATGTTTTAATATTTATTTATATTATTAACATGTAAATAACTTAAAAACACATTATCCGATTTTTCTGCTTTGAAAACGTAACTAACTGTTCTAATTAATTTCTCTTTCATATATGATGCATCTATATGTGACGTTTTTAGTTAAAAAGAAAATATCAAATTCCTAGGTGCATCCATATATGATGATTTTTAGTTAAAAAAAATGCTTAAAGCAACTCATATACTTGTTGAGTTTTTGTTTTTACATATAATTAAAAATCAAGACAAAAGAAGAATGAAAGTTATATGCTGTTCAGACACAAAGGGTTTAAGGTGTTTCCCTTTCGACTCTTAGTCTATAAGGTATTTTCTTCCGCCTACTTAGCATGCCTTCGTGGTGTAGTCGGTCAGCACACTCGACGCGTATTCGAAGAGGTCCGTGGTTCGAGTCCCGGACGAAGGGTATTGCTCATTTTTCACGTCTTCTTTGCTTCCAAAAAAATCCTGATGTCTGTACAAGGTCTACATTTATAAATTAACAAAAACAATAAGATAAAATAACACGCCGAACAAGTATTTAATTTAACAGTCAAACAACAAAATTCCATGTTATATTTGCAAATTTTCACAGGATTAGTTTCGATTGTTTTACCGAACCATCATCCTCAGCTGCCTCATCTTTCAAAACATTTTTTTTTTTTTTTTTTTCGCTTTGGTAGATGAGGATGATGGTTTGGTAAAACCATCGAAACTAGTTCTTTGAAAATTTGCAAATATAACACTGATTTTTATTGTTTGATTTCTAAATTAAAATAATAATGTTAATAAATATTGTTGTTTTGTTTACTCATTAAGAAACTGTCAAATAACATGGTAACTTCAAACGTTAGCTATAAAGCTTGTATCGTCTTCATGTTTGCAATGTAATAATTCTATTCTTTAATATATACCTATATGAATTCATAAAGAATATAATTTATATTTTACTTCTAAATCTATAACATCTGATTTGTTCCGATACTCGCAATTCAGTTTCATTAAGCCGTCCTCTCAATCTGACATTTCGTGTGAGTTTAGCTAATACAGTCAAAATCGTTAATCCGGACTCGTCCGAGGACTTCGGCGATTCCGGATTATCGATTTTTTCCGGATTATAGATCATCAGTTTAAATCTCGTAAGATGCATGCAGAAATTCTAAAATTAAAATATGAAACCTTAATTTATGAAATAAAGAACAATTATAATCTAAAGGGTATCAAAATTTACAAAAGAAAAAGCTTATATTTATTTGTTTACTTTATTAAACATTTCTTCAATGTAAGTTGTTTAAGTGCTTCGTTTCATGTGATAAACTTTCTCTTTAATTCTATTAACAGACATAATTCTTGTTTAGTTACAAATTTCCGCTGTACAAGTCCTATAATTGAGGTGTCGAGAATACCGACTAATTTGTCAATCGAAATTTTTTTCGTTTTCAATAACCTCTGTTCACTTTCTTGACTATCGGAAGCGAATTATAATGACGAGGAACTTGTTTTAAATCATATCAAAGACGGAGTGCATCAAGATGAAATACTACATTTAGTTAGCAATTATAGCCAAATAAAATAAAAACATCTGCCTTGAAGATAAGGATAGTGATGAGAGATCAACTTCCAAATCATTGTGCGCCGAGGCATTCCCCCCGCCGAACTGCGTGAAATTGATAAACAGATTTCGGATTTCGAAACATACTTTCGCTTTAGATCCTTTACATATTAACAAATATATATCGGAAATTCTATTTGATATAATCGAAAGTTTAAGCTTACTTTTATAAAATTGCTGTAACAGTCTGCAAAAAATAATAAGCCGGATCCAATTCGAAGATTAAGGAACAACGCAATCTGCAACATTAACTGCTTACACCGTAAATTTTAGCTTAGCTTACACGTCCGTTATACATTAAACGCGCATGCGTAAACGTTTTATGAACATCGCACAAGCATATTCGCAGCCGTAAAGGTCTTACGCGCGCACTTAAACGCCTATGCGCAAGCGTCAACGCGCATGCGCAGAGAGTTTGTAGCTTTGAGGTCCGGATTATAGATCATTCCGGATTATGGGTGTCCGAATTAACGACTTTTGACTGTAATAAGCAAATGAAGAAGTCAATAATAGTTGAGACCATATGTGATTCTATCAGATTCATCTGGCATGTTATTTAATGGCTTTGAAAACTCAGTTGTTGTTGCAAAGATTAATTTAAATAGTTTAATGTGTGCTATGTTAAACCAGAGTTGCTACTGAATAAAATCCACAGTGGTGAATCTTGTATTCTCTTCAGATAACAGATGGAAAGACAATTGACACGTTTTCAATCTCCATAGATTTCTCTCCCTTTAAATTACAAAGGAATCAGTTTAATTTATATCTATATTCATTTTATTTTGAATTTGTATATACTTTTGCTTTATCTACAAGTCTCAGTTTTCAGTCGGCAGTTAATTTATTGTTATTTAAATTTGTGCTATATGCTTTGCTTTATTTTACCGATTTCGTAAACTTTATAATTAGACAAAGGAAATGGTCCTTAACGAACTAAAGCTTGAAAATAAATTAAATGTTTACAAAGTAATTTTGTTATTGTTAGGGTTTTATTATTTAACGATGTTTTACACTTATTTGCCTACCAGCGGTTGATCGGAAAAGTTGCTGAACACTGGTAGTTCGGTACGAGGTTCGGATGCCGCAAACGAGCTAGCATACAACCAGCTCGGTTTTGGGCATTTTCATGTTGGCGTTGCGAATCTTACCACGAAACGCTCGTTGGGCGTTTTCGTGGTTTTTCCCATGTGTAACGTGTATATGAACCAGTTTTTCTTAAAATGTCCTCCACGAAAGCATCCCTTCCCTTAGGCAGATAGCCGTCGAGGATTTACCGTAATCATATAAACCACACTCACACTTATTAACACTTATTAGAGATCTAAATTTTCATGGAAGAAAAATGTTCTTATATGCTGTACAGCCAAGAAATGCTTTATACTATATGAAGATTGTTACCAGATTATTACATATTTATGCAAATGTTAGTTTTATGCATACTTGCATAACATTTACATAACACTTCATTGTAGCTGCACACTGGTGTTTCCAGAATATAAATAATTGCAATAGAATCTACAGCCTTTTATAATTTTGCGGCCTCACCAGAAAAAATAAAATTTTTCTTACTAAATGCACTTTATCTGGAACTGTTAGTGCCCTCCAAAACTATTTTCCCTATTTTCGTTTTCGCCATTCTTCGATATAAAGAAGTGATTCTGGGTTCTGTAATTCACAAGAATTAGATGATTTGTTAAGGTTTTTTACACTCTGGCTGAGCTTGCAGTCTACCAGTCTCATGTTGCACTCACTCCTGGTAACCCATTTTTCTTTGTTGTTTTAGGTTTAGTATTAAGCATCGGTTTCTTCGCACTTACGCCATATACAATTCAACAGCAAAATCCTAAAAATTTCCATTGCTTGAGATTCACAACGTCCGAATGTATTTCTTAGTTATACGGCCTTTATTTTCATGCTTCGATTATGGTATTAAATGAAATGGATGCCTGGGAGCAGCCAGTGCTGGTTTAGGGCAGCACTGCAACTCTCAGTACTCCACTGTAGTGCTATTATTATTATTATTATTATTATTTTTTAAGACAGCGATGACGTATTTTCAGTGGGCATTTCCGAGTGCTCTTGTCTTGGATGTTCACATATTTTGGAAAAGATAATGAACGTTCTGTTTTTATTTCTGAAAGGTCTAGCAATGATAATTTGTGCAGTAGAAAATCTTGCTATTAACGCTTAAAATTTTTAGAACAACCTTTTAGGCTTTTAGCTTTTAATTTTCTTTCAGCTTTTAACAAAGGATAATTTTTATTAACTACTGGCCTGTTTGTCCGTATCATTCATGCACGTTGAATATTAAATAAACGAAATAGATAATTACAGGAGATATAATTTGAATAATAATTGCTAAGTACCACGGCCAGTTGAGTGAATCGAGTTTACATCTGCATCCATCATGATTGAAAGCACACAGATAATAATCTTCAATTTTACATTTTGTTTCGTATTACAAGCATTCAGTAGATTCCTTGATTGCAGCCTTCGGCTAGGAAATTTTCAAGACATTCAATGTTTTATTGCATAATAAAAAAGTGGACCTATTTTTAAATTCCTACTATTAGCTCACACTCTACCTATATCTTGTTCAAATTTTCAATCGTTAATAAAATACTTTTTGTTCATCAATTCAAGTTAAATTCATTTTTTAAACTTGTCGTGGATGACACTTGATATTAAATTTTTAATATTATAAAATTTTTTAATTAAAAAAATTCTTTGTATTTAAAAGAAATTTTTTTTTGGTTGACCTAAGTAGAAATTGACTTCAATTTTTTTATGTTACTTGTTAAGGTTAAATTCTTCTCTTAGTCCAATATTCCACATTAATATATTGAAATAAATTCATTATATCCTTGCTAAACATTTCTATCGCTTCAAAGACTTGTCTTTAAGATCATTTTTAATTTTACAAATTAAACTACCGCAATAAATCTTGATATATTAATGTTCATCTATCTGAAAGTTGATGTACCAAAAGGCCTACAGTATTAATAAAAGTAAAAGAAAATATAAAGAAAAAATCAGAAAGATTTTTAGGTAAGCTTTTTAATATTTGCCCTCCAAAGGGTTTTGTAAATTTTTTTGGTTTACAGTCTTGCTAAGCTCGCAGTCTACTGATTACATAATGCGGTCAATCCTTCTAACCAATTTTTTTTTCTGTCTTTTTAACTTTTATTATTAAGCATCATTTTCTTCGCATTTACGCCATATACAATTCAAGTTATTATATTATTAGTAGTAAGTGCTTTTAATATTAGGCTTCATTTTTCAAAATTTTACATCCTATTCTCTTTCCTCTTTTTATATTAGATAAATGCACAAATCTCCATATCCATTGGAAAGATATCACATATGTTATATGCACTCTATATTTCAGATGATAGTGTGGTGCGAATGTAAAGTATTACTTATCTGATACAGAACAAATACACTGCTGGCCATTAAAATTGCAACATTGTGAAGGAAAGAAAATACAAAAAAGATATTTATTGTGCGTAAACAGTATGACATGCAGACAAAATAATCCAATTTGTAAGCAGTCTGGAAAATTTCAGTGGTGCAAAATTAGAAGAAACAGCTGCCAGCCCTGGCAGCTGAAACGGCCCTTATCCGGTTAGGGATGGAGTCGAACTTGGCTTGGATGACAGAAACGGGCAACTCATTCCATGCTGCTTTAAGTCTATACCACACATTATTAACCGTTTTAGCTGGAGAGGAGTGCCGGGTAAGTCTCTCAACAACCCATGACCAGATGTTTTCAATGGGTGATAGATCTGGAGACAGTGCATGCGAAGGCAGCAATCGAATACCCTGTTTATCCAGGAAGGTAAGAATACGACGTGCAACACGTGGTTTCGTATTATATTGTAGGAATCTAAAGAAGGCGTTTGGCAGGCCTTAAAGATAGGGCACAACCACTGGACGCAAGATGTCAGAAATGTACCGATCTGCGTTCAAGTTAACCGTCGATCCGAACTAGAGATGTGTCAATAACCTAATGGCTGCCCAAACCACCACACCACGTGCAGGGCCCCCTATGCCGATATCGAAGGAAGCAGGTGAAGTGCCGTCTCCTTATAACCTCCAGACACGTATATGGCCATCAGATTATTGCACGCAGAACAGGGATTCGTCTGAAAAGACGACGTTGTTCCACTCCTGGCATTCAACTTTGTCGTTCGGCGCACCAGAATCACCGTGTGAAGCGAAGCAAAGAAATAGTCGCCGTGCTGATAGTTAACGCTGCTGGCAAACATCAACGCACCGTACGAGCGGACACTGGGCATGCTGCAAACATGCTCATTTCCTGACTAATGGTCCGTGATGTGGCTGTATGGATTTGCATGGATGACCTCACAATGTGTCTGTCCTATCGGGCGTTATTCATGGGAGGGCGTTGAGATCCTACATGCCATTCATACTCATCATATTGATACATATGATCATATTGATACATATGATCCTCAGCAACCCATTGATTCCATATTTGCATGACTGTGGTTGGGTGTCAACCTGTGCGACGGGCGATATTAAGGAACGATAATCCACATTCTCGATTGGCAACGATCCTGCCTCTATCGAATTGAGACACTTGTTGGAAAGCATTTCTTCTTCTTACTCGAGGCATAACACGATATATTGAGTAAACTCCGAGCTTACAAAGCGCTTCCGAATGAGAAATCCACTAAACAACTTTTCGTTTATGCAATGCTTCAGATGTCGTTTCTCCCCACCTGCCTCGTCTAAATGCGCTGAAATACTAAACGCTTGCATATCCCAGCCTCTTATTCCTTTCATGCGATTTTGATGTTCCTTCCTGCTGTTGCAATTTTAATGGCCAGCCGTGTATTTGACCTCGAAGAAGTCTACCGATTTCTTTTAAACATATCGAACTACTTTTATTGAGAGTAAAAGATCACATGAACTCTGTCTGTTTTAAAATCGAAGTCTTGTTAAGAGATGGACCATTTACTTACCGTTGTTGTCAAAAGCATGTGTTATTTCATGCCCAATTACTATTCCCAGCATTCCATAATTCAAGTACCTAAGGGAAAAAAGATTAATATATTTGCATTGAGGAATATACGGAATCTCTAATAAAAACTATTACAAATATTGAATTTTGTTGGGTTTTGGACAGACAGTTTTATTACCTAAGATTTTGAAAATAAAAATACAGAAAATGAGGAAACCTTAGTTCAGAAACTTTCCAGAAACACTTAATGCATACTGTTAATTTACAACTGTTTAATTTAAAAATGACTCTCTAGGTGTTTACATGAAAACAAAGTGTTATTATTTTTACTTCCTTGTACGAAATAAAGGAAATATTGTAATCGCGAAAAGGCTTCGGGTGTCAGATTTCAAAGGAAATATCCATTTTCACCGCCCCGAATCCATTTGAAGGATTGTTTTGTGTAATACGGAGAGAAGAACGGACTCTTTTTTTTTTTTTTTTTTTTTTCTAAAACGGATTGTAAATGGATTCAAAAGGGATTTTTTAATGATGCATTTACCTATGTTTGTATGTATCTCGTATAACTCAAAAACAATTAACCGTAGAACGTCGAAGTTTTGCATTATTTGAGACTATTGCACTATCTAGTTTTGCACTTTTCTTTTTATTGTAATCAGCAGATTTATTACAATCAACAATCTGCTGTTTCAGGAGACAGTGGGGAATTTAAGAGATTGTTTGGCCTTCTCTGCCTGTGGATCCATGATATTAATTCCAAATCACTGTCTTATTGAGATTTTTCGGGACAATTTTGGTCTGATCTTCTGACAGTTCTACCAGATTTTTTAAATTTGGTATCACTACGACAGATCCTTCGAAGCCTGTCTGTCACATTAAGTCATCTCGTGAGGAAACTGAGATTTATTACTATAAACATTTCTGAAAATTATGTTAAGGATTTGGGCATTTGTTACAGTTATAAGATTGTATAGAACTGGACTCTTTTCTTATATAGCTTATTTTCATAGTAGATTTGCTACGCCACGTTTCGCATATCTTCATCCAGTTTTTGTTGTGATAGGAATTTAATATTTTATAAGCTTAATATTATTTAACGCTGTATTAATCCATCATGGTATAAAGTATTTTCGCTTTGAATTTCATTCAAATTCACTTTGAAATGCTCATTCAAATAAACTTTGAAATTCAAATACATTTTGAAATGCTCACATTTTGGGTATCACTACATTGATATACAATGTAATTTAAATCTATAATTATTAAAGTATGTAATTAATTTAATCTGCAATTATTAAATCTGTAATTATTATTAAATCTGTAATTATTAAAAGTTATATGTAATTATTAAAATGATATACTTCGAGACTTCTACGAATTAAGGAAATATCAAGTAAGTAATATTGCGAACTTACTTTGGTCGGTTTGGTGTAAAAATCGGTGATCTCAGGATTCCAATGGGAAAAACTGAAAAAAATAGGGTAAATTATATAGTTTATTTCATTATATAAAGTTATACAAATAGAACTAAAATGTTCATAATAAAATGTAATTTTTCCTACTTAAAATTTGTTTATGCCATGCTTATGTTATAAGAGTTTCAGTATTAGTTACATGCTTTTTAGATGAATGGGAAAAATGATCTTAAAAGGCATTAAAAAATAAAAATTACTAAGAGGTAATTTTAAGACACTTCCACTTTGATTTATAATTAATTTAAACCAGTTGTTAAAAATCAGTTGCTACGAATTCAAATCGTGTTTTAATAATTCTTCTGAAATCTTCATGCTATGTTACTTTCCGTCCAAGATTTGTTCTTCCATAATTCTGACAGCGCGTAAAAAAATTCACTGCTTCAGAAATGATAATGTTTTCTAAAATTCATCAACTATATTATTATGTTTGCAATTTACTTAATACAAAAGTAATAGCTTGCATTTAAAAAAATGGCCGAGTGTTTAGGTGCAGTTTGCTATGTTTAAATATTCTAACTTCCTTAAAATGCTTTAGACGTTTATACATTAATCTATTTTATATATTTTCATTATTTCTTTCCGCATTCAATTTTGTTGGAAAAATGATACAACTAGAAACTAAAATACGTTGCCCAAGTTGTGAAATGCAATGGAACTCTAGTTACTTGAAACCAAATTATACAAGTATCCAACTATCTAAATCGTTTATTTTTCTTTATAACCCACAAAAAATTGGGCTTAGTATTTTTTATAATTTTGATTATTTCTGTAAATTAAGTATTTTAAAATGATAATACAGTTTTAATGAATAATTTAAGAACTCAATTAATTAATTTGGATGACATGTGCACTACATAAAGGTTTGGCTGCTAGGTAGCGTATTAACATTAATGGAAAAACAATTACGCACTCTATCTAGGCTAATTGATTTTGATTAATCACAGAGTAACTAAGACACAATAACACGCCGAATAAGTACTAATTCAGAAGTCAAACAAAAATCAGCGTTAATTTTCAAAATTTTCACAGGACTAGTTTCGATGGTTTTACCGAACCAGCATCCTCAGCTGCAAAATCGCAAATGAACAAGATAGGAAATAATGATTAGATAAGATAAGAAAGCCTGGACAAGAATAAGCAAGTGGCGCCATCTATTGGTGAAACCAGAACTAAAAATCATTTCTTTAAAGGCCAAAGGAAACACGAATGATCAAATGGCTGTGCTTCGATGTCCAAAATATGGTCTTTATAAGCTATATGAAGTAGTGCTACATGGGCGCTTCACTTGTCATACAATAAATTGAGAAAGGTAGAAAAAGGGGGAATAAAAATTTCTCAGCGTAATATCATCCGATAAGACTGAGTAGTCTAGTGGAACTACCAGAATCCAGTTCATCTAACAGTTCAATGATTTCCATGCCTAGCTTTAATTTCTACCAGGGAAAAATTTGCTTGTTACATTTCCTTGCAAGGTCCATATGCTTTTTAAGAAGATCTTGTAGCTTTCTAATTTTTAATATTGCAGCAATGTTGTTCTTACTACAAAGAATATAAATGTCAGCATAACACTCCTCCATTGGCAACGACGAAAGTCTTAGGTAGGGAACTTAGCCCTTTGCGGCATAGTGTGTCCGCATTGAACACACCTAAACATTTCCTTCTGTATGCACAGAAAAATTGAATGAAAAAGGATTTATAGGTTACTCTGAACCTTCTTTATTTATAGTAGACGGCAGCTCAACACAAACCAGTCCATATATATTTTAGTCATGTTTAGTTTTTTAAGACCCTCATTTTTCAAAGAAATCTTCCAGATTTTTTAGGGTATAAAAGGAATTTTTATGTTTTTTTTTGGGGGCTGTATGCTAATTTCCTAATTCTATATTAGTTTTAAATTTTTACTTTGAAATCTTACCTAAAATCAAACGGTGAACTCTAGGTGTTCCCAGACCGGGCTCACCGATAATCTAGGACAACTAAGAGTCTGTATTCTTTGGTTCTCCGCATCTTATCGGTCAGTTCGTTGACAACAATGCTCGTTTCAGACCTCTTTTTGAAGCTCTATTCAATCAGTGAGCCCAATTTGGGCACACCCACAGAATTAAACGATAAGTGCTATCTTCACAAAATTTTACTTGTGTACTTACTCCTCTAGGCCTAATTAGACTGCCTACCGTTTTTTTAAATCAAAACTCCAACTTTAAATGGTAGTGTGCCGGAAAGGGTTAACGAGTTTCTTGACAAATTTTTCATCCGTGATTTCATAAGTTTCGAGAACATCGGATAATTTTTGAAGTTAAAAGGATGATCCCATTGGCACATCAGATACGTAACTTTCTACTGTTATAGAAACGTACAGGTATACGTTAGATTGTGTTGTGTACAGGTATACGTTAGATTGCGCACACTTCAGGCAATATGGCAAGTTGAAATAATCAAACTAGTTATGACTGAAGCTTTGAGATCTAAAGCAGATTCTTGAACGTCTTCCTGGCTTAAATTTGAAAACTCGTATTTGCAACGAGCATAAAGTTCTGACTTCATACATTTTCTGGCCTTCTTCGTTTCGTGTAAGTTCAACAAAGAAGCTCGAACAACAGCTCGAAATTCATCAGCTCATGTTTAACATCTTCTTTTGGGTCTCAGTTTGATTGGATTGATTGGAGCAACTTTAGATTTAGTGAAAACGTTGAACTGTACTTCGTGCTTGCTGAAGATAGCAATTGCAAGATCGTATTTCCTAGTGCAAGTAAAGTAAAATCTTCATTTATTTTTTGGTCAGATTACCCTTGAAAGCGTCAATTTCGTTTCGACGAAAATGCCGAAGTAGGGATTTCAGTAAACCATCAAGGCGCAGATGTAAGATCGGCCGTATTTTCTCGATATTTCATCTTTCCTGACTGGTCAGCTTGCATCTCTTCTACGATGGACTGACTTCTATGATGGACCTTTTGTCCGATAAAGGCACAAAGGAGTTACTAAGCTCGAGTGATACGTCTTTAGAATTGTTTTCTGGACTTTGGCAGTATTATTAGGGGTTTTCCAATTTACTTCTGAATTTTTCCTATCTGCAGGCAGGTCGAAAAGAATTTTCCGATTTGCGGGCAGGATATTGTATTCAGTAAGATCCGTTGAATGAATTTTGTAGCGTTTTTTGGACAAAATGTCCGTAATAGTTCAGTCCATATGTCCGATAAAAATTGCATGCTAGTATTGCATGCTGTCCTTTTCATATTCAGGATATCTTATTCATCAGCATTCAATTATCCAGGATTCCTCTAGGGCAGGATTTCTTAAACTTTTTTCAGTCGCGACCCCTTTTTATTACTGAGATTTTTTCGCAACCCCCAGGACCCCATAATATTTACAAAAGTTTTGTGGGACCTCATAAGAATTGCGAAAATCCGACACACGCGTGAGTGAAATTATCAGTTTTTTCACTTGTATTGTAATATGCTATTGAAGTTTTAAGTCACTAAATTCTAATTCTAGCTCACAGAACAAGGTGAAAGTTTTAAATAAGTAACAAACGGAATGACAGCATCATGTGCAAAGCAAGGAAAATGAAAGTGTATATTATAAAAAGAATGCGTCGAAAGGTTTTCGTTTTTTTCTTTGTCTGTATTGTCTTATCCTTACCTATTTTCAGATACATTGTGTAAAAATATTTGGTAATTGTAAAATTATTATAATAATTTAAAGAAATATCAAAACTGCTAAAATTTTTGGTGACTCTACTGCAGGTCCCTCGACCCCCTTGGGGGTCGCGACTTACAGTTTAACAAACCATGCTTTCAAGCTGCTCAAGTTTATCTCAATGTTTATCTGAGCGTACAAAATCTGGTCTATATGCCACAAACGTTGTCTGTTTGTTATCAAGAGTGCGCCTGAAATTACCAAAGCTGGGGGCTAAATAGTGAAATCATGTTAAAATCATAATGGACCAGTAATTAATTGGTCACAACCTAGGCAGGAACGTCTGCGAATATAACCTTCACTAGTGAAGGCTCCCTTCGGATTAATAAATTGAACACGACTTGCATGTTAAGATTATTCGCTAGATTGTTTGGTGAGTACTTTCTAGCGTAAGTAAATTTACGTCTCAGTGCATTGGCCTGACAATGCAGAGTCCTGAGCTGTGGGTCCCATAAAAAAAAGAGGAATTGACGGCTGGTGAAAGAAGGGGAGGCACTTTGCCTTGCAGTTCATGTACAAACTATGTTGCTAATTGAACAAAGGTCATTACTTAAAGAGATACATGAGCTGTAATAGAAAAGTTGCACTGAAACTTAGCATAATAGCATAAATATACAGGATGATTCGCTAACAGACCGACAAACTTGCAGGGTGAATAGGGGGCATAAAGATGACTCCGAATCACATAGGAATGCAGGGTCGCAAATGCCGCCATTGCAAGCTATGGTGCAAAGAAACAGAGAAAAAGAACAGAAACAGCAACACATGAATGGGACAGAAAACATTTTATTGAAAAGTTGTACCACAACAGGTGTTCGAAATTACGACCAAAAGTCGCCTGGCAGGCCTAACAGCGGAGCTGCATGGAATACCTTACGTTCTAGAAGATTCGTGGCATGTCACTTGTCCTCTCGGCAGCTACAGATATTTGAGCGACGAGGTCTTCAACTGAAGGAACGGGCGTCTCGAAGAAGAAGTCATACATAATAGGTTCGGTGATCTGGCAGGCCAATGAACCGGGCCAATGAACCTACCTATCCACCACTGTTCAAAGGTTTACCTTGAGGGGTCAGTGGACGTCAGTAGTATAATCTGGTCACATTATCATTATCATTATAAGGGTACAGCGCCGATCCTCCTAGCCTGCACAAGCCGGCCGTATGATCATAAAATAGGACTGGCCAGAAAAAAAAAAAAAAGAAAAAAAAAATAGTCTAAAATGAGTTTCAGTGCCGTATTCCAATTCTATCTTTGTTTGTATTTATTATTTTCATTATTGTCTCTGCAAAATCTTTCAAATTTGAAGACTTCCTTTTAAAATCTTCCTGAAAATTATTTCTATATGGTACCATATGTAGCGGCGCAGCGAAGAAGGAACATGTGCTGCGTAGAGAAATTCGGGCAGGACTTGTTGCAAGAAGATCAGGTATGCCCTACCGTCCAAAGGACTGGGCAGAAGGTGCGGTCCATTGAGGTAGTTTCCATGAGTTGCCGGCTCAAACAGTGACCGCTTGAGCTGCACGTTGTTGAGCTGCAAGCTTGAGCTGCACTGCTGAGTTGACCGCATGATTCACTATGACCAAATACTGAATATCATGGCTATCCACTTTCAGGTTCAAACATGATAGTGTATTATTTCTGCAAAACCCAGTACAGGATTGTCACATCTAACACCGAGAAAGATAACCAGGAGGAATCTGAAATCTTTCCTCTCTACTTCTGTATGGAATTGCCTTGAAAATTAAAACTTAATGTACAGGATGTGTAGAAGCTTAAATTAATGTCTTTCAGAATGTACTTGACTGACAAGCGAGTTATGACTCTAGTTTGAATTAAAAATCTAAGAATCCTGTTAAAGTTAAACTAAATGTTTTTTAATTAACTTTATAAATTTAGTAGAAGGTACGACTTTCGCTTAAAAAATAAAACTCCGCTACTTGCGGATATTTAAAATAATATAAGTTGAAATTTAAAACGAAATATTGTCAGAAACTACACAAAATGACCAACTTTAAGGTGGCTCAAATATTAAAAGTTGCGCATTTAACGTCGGCCGGCTGAAGTCGGAACAAACTGAAAGCAAGTCCGCCAGAAGTTACCGAAAGAAGAAGTTATGACAAAGATTCAAATCATAACAATTTGTTAACAACACAAAATGCTGGCAAATGAAGATTTCATTTTAAGTAAATGAACATTGTTGCTTCCAGAAAGTTTCTTTAAACTGATGTATTGATATATACTAGTGCGAAAAACTTAAGAAACGTTTTTTGATTTTAGTCATAATTCCGTAAAACATTAACTTTGAGAAATGAAATTTATACTACAATTCACAATGAAATACTTAAAGGATGACGAAAGTATAGTAGCAAAACAAGTAATAGGACGCATACAACACCGAATGAATAGAAAAGGGCTTTATTGACAGAATAGCGTTGATACAAAAGCACTATCTGTCCAAGGGAAAGAACAACAAATCAAAGAACCTTATTGCACCGTCTTTAGATACTCACCCCCAGATTATTGAACTGTTCTTGGGGTAAGAGTTCCCATTCTTCAAGGAGCATCTGTTTCAGTTGTGTCGTAGCACGCGTCTCCATAAAATAATCCACACAAGTTCAATGGTATTTAAATCAGGGAATCGCGCTGCACAGTCTATTTTGTGGATAACTTCATTTTTTACAACAGCACGAGTCCTGTGTGGCCGTGCATTTTCATCCATAAAAACAAAGTCGGGACCAATGCCACTTGGGAAAGAGCACGTGGCGATGATAACTTTATCATAGTAACGAGCTCCGGTAATTGAACCTCTGTCGAAAATATGAAGCTACGTTCGCCCATTAATCAAAATGCCTCCCAATGCAAGCGGGCCAAAACCACCTCAAGGGACGGTCTCTTTTCCTGACGTTAGTGGGATGACAGCGTGTCCTTATCTCTTTCCATATCAACTAGCGCCGAAAATCTTTTGTCAGACTGAAACGACTTCCATTGGTAAAGAGGACATGACTCCATTGGTGATGTGTCCTGTCTTTATTTTCTGTACGCCACCATAAACGGTGCCGCCGATGCGCTGCTGTAAATGGCATGCAGCTTTCAGGACTATGGGCGAAAAGATCCCCTTTATGACGTCGTTTGGATACAATAAACCAGGACATCTGTTTTCCGGTTGCTGTGCGAAACTGCTAAGCAATGCTGGCCGCTGTCTGGTCAAACTCTAGGGCGACAGATGCCAACATAAGCTTGAAAATCATTCTACCACGTGTAAAAGCGTCTTAATTTCTTGTAACTATGGTCAAACTCTAGGGCGACAGATGCCAACATAAGCTTGCCAATCATTCTACCACGTGTAAAAGCGTCTTAATTTCTTGTAACTATGGTCAAACTCTAGGGCGACAGATGCCAACATAAGCTTGCCAATCATTCTACCACGTGTAAAAGCGTCTTAATTTCTTGTAACTATGGTCAAACTCTAGGGCGACAGATGCCAACATAAGCTTGCCAATCATTCTACCACGTGTAAAAGCGTCTTAATTTCTTGTAACTATACTTTCCGTATAGTCTCACTTGTAGAAGAACGCCTGGAAATGCCGCTTCCTTTCTTCTTTTTAAGCTGCCTTGCACTGCGCTCGCTGACTCTTCGCGTTTTGCTTTTCTTGACTTACCCTCTGATGTCATGGTGCTGATATCTGCATACGCATCACCTTTCTACTGAGTTGGCTTTTCATTTTACTGACCGCAAAAAGCCATTTTCAGCAATTTCATGGTTGTATGTTGAAAAATGAATTTGTTACTTAAGTTTTGCAAACTAGTATATATTGGACTTTAACATGCAATCTATCAGAAAAGGGGTTATCATAATTACTGAAATAAAATTTGTTGCGTCCGCATATTTTTGTAATGAGAAGTGGTATTTATTTTCTAAACAAAATCATTTTTTCAGAAATCTGAAGAACCAATTTTTCTCTTAACCTGATAGACAGTACTGTTTTTTTTTTTTTTTTGCTTTCAAAACACACTGTTGTATAGATTATTATTTATCATATGTTGTTTAGATCTAAATCATAAAATACCAGTTTATATGGCTGAGAAATATTTCATTAAAGAATAGTAAACACATAAGTCCACACGGCAATTTAAATTACATAGTTTGAACAAAAGTCTGGAATAGTAATTGCAAGTCTCAAACATTATAACTATATTAATTTGAAAACTAGATGCTAACTATACAAATGATATCCTTTTCAATATCCTAATTAAGTATAAAAATTTGAGCACCTAAGACTGCTAAAAAGTGTGATGTGTTAAAATTCTTCAAAACACTAAATTTCAGTACACTTGTGAGGTTTCGTCATTTCCTGGGGTAGAAAGTCTTTACAGATATATCAAAATTCTTGAATAAATGTTAGCAAATATATTTTTAATTTTTATGAATGCTTTATTTCACTTAGACAAGCATTTCTGAATGAAATAAGAGATCCTAAGTGATAGTTTATAAGACAAGTGATAGTCTAAGAAGACAACGCTCTTCTGATATTTATCTATCATCAAAATCATTTATACGAATTAAACTACTTTCTCAACGCAATTTAATTTTTACTTCTTGGTACGAAGTAAAGGAAGCATTGTAATCGCGAAAAAATTCGGGTATCATATTTCAAGGAAAATATTCATTTTGATCGCCATGAAATGCAATTTCACGATGTTTTTGCGTGACATCTGTACATAAGGATAGAATAAAGAACTCTTCCCCAAACGGATTGTAAAACGGATTTAAAATGGATTCGCAAGAGACTTTTATTTGTAACGGCAGAACGTATGTATGTATGTATTTCGCATAACTCGAAAACGAGTAGCTTCAGAACTTTGAAATTTTGTATATAGGATTGCTATAACATGTAGTTGTGCACTTCCCTTTTTTGTTGCAATTGGCCACATCAAAAGTATATATACATACTCACTCTGTTACGCAGCTCGGTGAGCTCAGGTCTTTATTCTTATACGTTGGTAAATTGTGCATTTTTTTATTAAAAAATCATTGAATTATGTTGTTCTCATGTTCCAGTTAAGAATTTTATGCCTTTAGTTAATCTGAATGCAGTATTTATAGAAGTATCAACAATTTAATTGTCGTTTAGGCATAACTAAGCCTAACGGAGCAGCCATATTTGTTTACATTTGAAACCGAGTGGGACTAAAAGTAAGCTTTCCGTTTTGCGCACCGAAAAACTTCCCTTCTTGCCTGCTAGCCAAATTGCACGTTTTTGAGTAGAAATTCTAATTCTAATTTAATTGTTTTACATGTATTTGGTGTTTTATGTTTTTCTATATTTTTCAAATTTTAATGAAGATACTTTGAGTTGTTATTATTTTTGCCTTGCTACGAAGTGAGACTGAATTAATTGAATGAGAAATACATCTCTAATGAAATTCGAGGAAATAAATCTAAATGAAATTCAGCGAGAAATGTGTATAATTTAGTCAATACAAGGAAGTCATGTGGTATCCACATCAGATTTTTTAGAAACATAGTAAAAGTATTTTCTTCTATAATTTTAAAAGAAACTAGTTCAGACGATCGCAGTAAATATTAAAAAGGAGCAGTCATCGTCTTCGATGACTTTCATTTGCTGAGGTATTTGAGTTCTGATATCAGTAAGCCCTTGTAAATAAAATAAATGCTGTAACTATTATGTGAGAATTTTTTTAACACCAGAATGCACGTGTTTTTATGTTTTCTATTGTGCACGTGCTTTAATTTTTAGCGGAAGCATTTACCGTTAGAAGAATGCTAAGAAAACGAAGACAAAAATTTGACATTGTTTTCGGAAATCAGACACTTGATATGACACATATAGTAAAGCATTTTAAAACCCGAGTAAAATATAAAACTATTATTTAGGTTAACATCTTTCAATATTTTCATAATGAATTTTTCAACAGTATTAAACGAAATGATTGAATAAATAATTTCACAATAGACGTGGGAAACATCGTCTTAAACTTCGTAGGATATGATTTTGCGTGGTCCCTAAAAAGGATCGCAATTTATATTTTGTTTTTCCTTATTAAGAACTAAATCTATCATAACCAGCCTGTATATGGTCTAACCAGATTTAAAATTTTAATTTTAAAGAAAAACTCACTATTGTAATATAGTTTCAATAAATTTATTAACTTACTAACAGCATTTCCCGTTGCTTCGTAGAAGGCATTGACAACAAGAGGCTGCACAAACCAATCTCTGGAAAAAAAAAAATGAAACATTCCTTCTCATTAAAATAATCCTCCTCGTCAGAAAATAATTAAAATAATGCATAACATTTTGAGGCGAATTCGAAAAAAATTGCTATTTTCTAAAGAGCTACTAACAGTTGTTTAGTATTCTCAAACTAAGTAACAGCTAGTTTTTGAGTTTAACTGGGACTTGTGTAACTGTCCTAATAACTGGAACTCATTGCTTTTGCACTTAGGCAGCTGAGGAAGATGCTTCCATAGTTAAACCATCGAAACTAGTCCTGCAAACTTTGCGCTGATTTTTGCCGTTTCAGTTCTTCAATCGCTGAAATTCTGTTCGTTAAAGTTAAGTACAGGACAGCCCAAACATTCGTAAGAATCTAAGTAATTCATACCGAGTGTGTGTGTGTGTGTGTGATTATGGTAAAGCCTCGAGGGCTATCTGCCTAAGAGGAGGGATGCCTTCGTGGAGGACTTTCTAAGGGAAACTGGCTCGTATACACGTTACGCATGGGGAAAACCACGAAAACGCCCATGCAGCCAGCCCGTTCGCGGGATTCGAAACTCCGACCGAACTACCAGTGTTCAGCGACTTTACCGCTCGGCCGCTGGTGGGCTAATAATTCATACCGATTACAAATAAGTATAATAAAGGGCGATTTTGTTGAAAAATAGTCGTAACAGATAGGTGTGTTTTTCTTGGGAGTTTGGAAGGCATAAATATTATGTTTAATTTTCATTGATAACAGTGTTTCTCTGTACAGATAGTATGTACTGTGAACCAGATACAGTCAAAAGTCGTTAATCCGGACTCGTCGGGACTTCGGCGATTCCGGATTATAGATCATCGGTTTAAATCTGGTAAGATGGCATGCAGAAATTACAAAATTAAAAATATGAAACAGTAATTTATGAAATAAAGAACAATTATGATCTAAAGGGTATCAAAATTTACAAAAAGAAAAAGCTTAATATTTATTTGTTTACTTTATTAAACATTTCTTTCAATGTAAGCTGTTTAAGTTGCTTCGTTTCATGTGACAATACTTTCTCTTTAATTCTATTAAACAGACATAATTTCTTGTTTAGTTACAAAGTTCTGCTGTTCAAGTCCTATATTTGCTGTGTCGAGAATACCGACTAATTTGTCAATCGAAATGTTTTTGTTTTCAATAACCTCTCTGTCACTTTCTTCACTATCGGAAGCGAAGTATAATGACGAGGAACTTGATTTAAACCGTATCAAAGACGGAGTACATCGAGATGAAATACGACATTTAGTAAGAAATTATAAGCCAAATAAAATAAAAACATCTGCCGTGAAGATAAGGATAGTGCTGACAGATCAACTTCCAATTCATTGCGCGCCGCAGCGTTTCTCTCCCCCTGCCGCAGTGGAGTGAAATTGATAAACAGATTTCGGATTTCAAAACATACTTTCGCTTTGTAGATCCTTTACATATTAGTAAATATATATCGGAAATTCTATTTGACATAATCGAAAGTTCAAGCTTACTTTTATAAAATTGCTCTAACAGTCTGCAAAAAATAATAAGCCGGATCCAATTCGAAGATTAAGGAACAACGCAATCTGACATTAACTGCTTACACCGTAAATTTTAGCTTAGCTTATACCGTCCGTTATACATTAAACGCGTATGCGTAAACGTATTATGCGCTTGCGCACACGCATATTCGCAGCCGTAAAGGTCTTACGCGCACACGTAAACGCCTATGCGCATGCGTCAACGCCACGCATGTGCAGAAAGTTTGTAGCTTTGAGGTCCGGATTATAGACCATTCCGGATTATGGGTGTCCGAATTAACAACTTTTGACTGTATATGCATTTATTCATATGCAATAATCTATGTATAAATGCATACGAATAAATGGCATATGCATTTATTTATCTACAATACATCATTACACATCTTCTAGAGTATCCTTGAACAGAAGAAACCGTTTAATATCGTTTTAGCGTTAATTTCGATTATTGGCTAGGTGACCTCTCTTTGAGTTAAATATTTACATCTAACCATAGCAATTTTCCTTCCCTCTTTGTGATTCTTTATAGGTGTGTGTGTGTGCTCTCATTCTTTATTCCTAGTCGTTCACTTTTATTACTTTTTTTCCCTAACTCTTTGAGCCTTTGTGGACACCTTGTATATGTTGTTCTATTCAGCAAAAGGCTAAATTCTGTGTCTGGAAATAATTGTACTGTGACAATATTATCGCTCAACGCTTTCTAAATCATTCATGATTCTGATTTGAACCTCACGATTTATGATAACTTAAACAAAACTGTATTTTAAAATTAGAATTGATATCGTCAATAAATGCACGTTACAATAAGTGAAGTATAACTGAAAAGTCTGGTCAGTTCTGGTGAGGATTTGACTAATATAACTAAAAAGAATTGAAAAATCTAGTGAAAAATAAAACTTTTTACTAATAAAATTTCTTTTCTTTCTTCTTTTTTTAAACACCAAGTAAAAAAATAGAAAGATCAGATTTTTATTTATTTATTTATTTTATTTTTACTTCCTTGTACGAAGTAAAAAGGAAGTACTGTAATCGCGAAAAGTTTCAGGCAGCATATTTCAACGAAAATATCCCATTTTGACCTCTTTCAAATGCAATTTAACAATGTATTTCTGTGATATCTGCACGTAAGGACAGAATAAAACACTCCTCCTCCAAAAAAATTATAAAAACTGCTTAAAAATGAATTCTGAAGAGAATTTTTCGTGGCGTCTGTACGAACGTATGTACGTACATGCGTACGTACGTATCTCGCATAACTCAAAAACGAGTAGCTTCAGAACGTTGAAATTTTGTATATAGGACTTCTATAACATGTAGATGTGCACCTCGTATATTGGTTGCAATCGGCCGCACCAAACGTATATAAATATATTTATATATATATCCACTCTGTTACCCGGCTCAGTGATCTCAGTTGCTTTACTCTTATATGTTTGTAAATTGTACATTTTTTGCTTTAAAAATGATTGAATTATGTTGTTCTTATCTTCTGGTTAAGGTTTTATGTTTTTAGTAAATCTGTATGCAATATTTTTAGAATTATCAACAATTTTAAAATTGTTTAAGTGCCGCTAAGCCTAATAATGTTTTTGATGGCGGCCATTGCTCTTGTTTACATTTGAAACAGCAGGATAGCGGATTTGTTGCCAATCTAGAGAAATTTAGCTTCGCAACAACAAAGATAACGCCTTCATTTATTATTTAAATCATGCCTTCTTAGACCTTCTGAGAAGTGGTTATCTGCCAGGCCGTTTCGAAGAGAAATTTAAAAATCTTATGTCTTATTAAATGTGTGTTTAAAGTCAAGCGCTCAGTAGACGCAGAGTGCCTATAGAGTAGAACGAACGGCGCAACTTGAAATAACCTCGTCCTGTGTTAATTCTTATCTTTATTTTATTACTATTATTAAAGTGAAATAATTCATGGAATTTTGTCTTGGGAGGGATTAATATATTACCTTTCCAGAGAATTCAAATTTTTGTTAAGACATTAGTGTTAATCGTAATAGCAACCTTTTAAGCAATTGATTCTCGTGCATGTGATTAATATATTATGTCATGTTCTAAAGATTGAGCGTAATCAGCACAATTTCCTGAGTGTGATAGTATGAAAAATAAATAAGCGCAAAGTGGGGAAATAAATTGATTAAAAATCTTCAAAGGAATTATTTCAAACTCCAAGGTGTACGTTTCTGTTGTATAAGTGGTTAGCACATCGAAGGAACAAAATCTAGTTTAAATTCCGGCCAGGACGCAAGTTAAATTTTCATGATTCTCGTACTGAAATGTTTAATCTCTACAAACTATTCTGATTATTATTGCATTCTTTCCAATTAGCTAATATTTATTTTTTTATTTGGTAACTTTATATAAAATTTCATACAAATCCCAGAAGTCTAAATTCGGTAAGTTAAAAAATGAGTAACTTGCGTTCCGATACATAGTGCCACTCTAAATAAAGGTATAAGGTATAACTAACACTCTATTTTTTTTCTTCCTTTCGACGTGCTTTCGTGGTGTAACCGGAAGCAAACTCGACCAGGAGTGGTCCAGAGTTGGAATCTCGGTTAGGACATTGCACATTTTTCACGTCTCCTGCTTAAAAAAAATCTTAATGACACTAAAAACTTATTTGTTGCTCGCGAGGACAGAAAATAAAATGATAATCAGTAGAATCAACAAGATTATCTATCATTTAACTAAACAAAGATGATAGAAATATTCTAAAGAAATGGATTATTAATATACAGCAATTAATAACTATGTATGTATAATAACATAGTCAACATTTAAAATTTTTCTTTTTAAATAAATTGGATTAGAATATTTCTTCCTTTATTATTTTCCGTAAAAACAACGAAACGTGAGTAAATTATTAGGTCTTTTTAATATACTTATATCGTCCTCAGGATCGGATTTAGATTTGACGAGATCCTAAGCTATTTGAAATATGGGGCCCCATATTTATTTTTCAATAAAAATAAATATTCAGAGTGAATTTTTTTAGATGGGACATGCTACAATTTTTCGGGAGGGGGCCTAAGCTATAGCTTGTTCAGCTTATACGTAAATCTGGCAATGAACATTATTAACATTCTTGATAATTTGATTGTATAGTAGTTTAATAGAGAATAACAAGATTGCTTGCTTGATAGAACTTGTTAAGAGCTAACTTAACTAAGATTATAATAAAACATAACTCGTTTAAACATCATTTACATTTCCAAAACTTTTAGAAAAACACTCTTAATTAATATTTTGGTCTAAATTTTTGATTTAGCTATTAAAGTATGAACATTATAAGTAATTAGCATGGCTGGGTCCAAAAGGCTGATAAATAAATTATACTAAAGATGAACAATTTTTGAATGAACTGTAAGTTTATAAGGTATTTCTCCCGCTTCCCTAGCGTCCTTCGTGGTGTAGTGGTTCAGCACGCTGGGCCGGTATTTCCAGAGGTCCGTGGTTCGATTCCCGGCGAGGGCGGTTGCATATTTTTCATCTTTTCTGCTTCCAATTAACCTAATGACTCTACAAGTTATTTACAAGAGTGAATGATAATTATACTTTAACCATTTGCGGCACAGTGTGTCCGGTCTGGACACACCTAAAAATTTCCTTCTGTACGCACAGAAAAATTGAATGAAAAAGGTTTTATAGGCTATTCTGAACCTTCTTTATTTATAGTGGATGGCAGCTCAACACAAACCAGTCCATATATTTTAGCCATGTTTAGTTTTTTAAGACCCCCATTTTTCAAAGAAATCTTCCAGATGTTTTTTTAGGGTGTAAAAGGAATTGTTTGAAAAGAAATTTCTATGTTATTTTTTTGGCTGTATGCTAATCTCCTTATTCTATATTAGTTTTAAATTTTTACTTTGAAATCTTGTCTAAAATCAAACGGCGAACCCTAGGTGTGCCCAGACCTCGCTCACCGATAATCTAGGACAACTGAGAGTCTGTATTCTTTTTTCCTCCGCATCTCATCGGTCAGTTCATTGACAACAATGCTCGTTTCAGCACTCTTTTTGAAGTTTTATTCAATCAGTGTGTCTACTTTGGGCACACCCACAGAAGTAAAACGATAAGTGCTGTCTTCACAAAATTTTACTTGTGTACTCCTCTAGGCCTAATTAGACTGCCTACCGATTTTTTAAATCAAAACTCCGACTTTAAAAGGTAGCGTGCCTGAAAGGGTTAAGACACCAATATGTTAAATAATTTTACAATTAATAGTGCATCTACTGAGATTCACGTTGTTCTACAAATGAACAGAAAAAGTAAAGACATAATGTTTGAAGCCCAGACATTTCAAAAATTGGAAGGTAATATTGTTATTGAATGCAAACTGAAGTCATTAATTTCTATTCGGTATAAGATGGTGATTTTACTCCAAGTGAAGTAATGCTTGTAATATGACTTCAAAAAGCAGAAATGAGAGAAAGATTCCTAATTACTCCTACAAGAATCGAATGCATTCTGAAGATGAAGAGAAGGCCCAAACAATCACAAACAACTAATACATTTTATGTTGATGTTTGAATTTTTTGGGGGGCACATTTTAATAAATGCTTAATCCCAACGTAAATATATTTTCGATGCAATGAAAATATTTTAATAACTCTAGAAATAGTTAAAAACGGTTAACTCTAGAAGTAGTTTGAAAGTAGATATATACACTGCTCGACATTGAAAATGCAACACCAAGAAAGAGTGGTCAAAAAGTGATGAAATTTGGAAAAAATACAGAGACAGCAAGCAGCAATAAGTGATCTTTATTTCAAAATGATATCTCAGTCATCAATTCGGCTCAGTAGGATAGTTGATAGTTGATAGTTGATGGGGGACGTGTGTACCATCCCTTTACCGTAATGGTTAATTGGCATATGTAACACGTCCACCTCTATCTTGAGCCAGATGGGCCACACAGGCGCCTCGCACCATACACCGAAACCCAGCGACCAGGCCATCAAGGCTCAGTAGGATGTAAGACCACCGCGGACAGCGATGCACGAAGAAACACATTTAGGCATAGAGTCAATAAGAGTGAGGATGGTGTCCTGAGGGATGGCTCTCCATTCCCTTTCAACCATTTGCCACAGTTCGTCTTCTGAACGAGGCAGGGGAAGAGTCTGGAAACGGCGTCCATTCACATCCCACACATGTTCGATTGGTGACAGGTCAGGAGAGTACGGTGGCCAGAGAAGCATCTGTATACCTTACAGAGCATGTTGGCAGATGCGAGCACTGCGTGGTCGGGCGTTATCCTACTGAAAAATAGCATTAGGCAGCCCCTGAAGGTAGGGGATTGCCACCGGCCGCAGTACATTATCCAAGTATTGTTGGGCCGTCATAGTGCCCCGAATACAAACTACAGGTGACCTCAAATCGTAGGCAATAGCGCCCCAAACCATTATGCCACGTTGTCGCGCGGTGGGGCGTTTCACAGTTACTGCCGGATTAGATCTATCTCGACGCCACACACGTATGCGGCGACTGTCACGGAATAAACAAAAGCGTGACTCATCTGAGAACACGACGTTTCGCCATTCTGTCATCCACATCGCTCCAGTCCGGCACCATTCTAAACGTTGGCGTCTGTCCTGTGGGGTCAATGGCAGTCTTCTTAACGGACGCCTTGAGCGCAGGCCACGTTCAACCAATCGACGGGAAATGGTTCTGGTCGACACGGGAACATCCAGGGTATCTTGCACATGCTGCAGAATCGCGGTACAAGTGACTTGCGGGACCGCCACAGCTTGTCGGCGGATGCGTCGATCCACGCGTGCTGACGTCACTCTGGCTCCACCTGCACCCCTCTTTCTTCCCACATTTCCTTGTTACAACCATGTTCGCCATAGCCGATGCATCGTGCTCGCATCCATGTGGGTATCAGCTGCGATTCGACGTAAGGACCAACCCGCCCTTCTCAGTCCGACCACCATGCCCCTCATAAAATAGTCTATCTGCTGGATGTGCCTTCGTCGACAGCGGCCTGGCATTCTCTCCTATTACACGTATCCTCCGGGACAAAAACCAACTTTCTTCGATAATTCGTCTGGCAGAAATAACGACACGGATATTGCCCATTCTGCACGTTCCTTCCCTTATATCTTACTTCACGTGCGTCGGAGAGCTGCGCATTTCACATCATTCGCATAACCCAGTGACGTGCGTCCTACTCTAAAATTTGCATAAATTTCTGACCACTCCTTCTTGGTGTTGCTTTTCAATGTCGAGCAGTGTATTTATATCAGAATTTTTTATTTCATAATAATCTTATTATATAATTTAAATTAATTCTATTAGATGTAGTGAAAATTTGATACAAATGACAGGATGGAAAATTAATTAAAAGCAGTTGATATACTTTCAATATATTCATAACATATTTAGATATTAAAAAAATTATTGTAAAGTATTTGTGAAATTTCCCATTAAATACTATAATGAAACAAGTTTAATAAAAGAATAATTAAACGGAAAATGTTGTTTCGTGTCCCATTAATTTGTTATCCTAAATAAACACTTTAAAGAGGAAATTTAACATTTCGGTTGCGTTAATTCCTTTGATATAAATTTTTGAAATATATCTTGTTTTAACATGATCTTTAATATGCGTGCTTGAGGGGGGTCAAGGATTTGTTGCCATGTCATTTCTTTAGACAGGCAAGATTTTGAAATTCGATTTACGAATTGTTATGTAGAAGGTCCAAAAAAGATTTATACCTGCAAATTAATATATAGGTTTTAATTCGAGAATGAAGCAAAGTGTTTTGAACAGAGTTTTCATTAATATAAAATTTTCGAAACAACAATGTGTAGGTATTAAACATTATAAAGTAGTTTTAATGATACATGCTTCAACAAAACGGAAATTAAAATTTTCAATACGAAGCACTGACAGCGTAACTATTTTATGATATTGCTATGAAATGTACAGGCGCGGTGAGATGGCCATTTGGCGACAAAATTGGCGATATCCCATGGACAGTTCGAGAACATTCTGGTCTAAACCGGTAAGAATTCGTTCCAGAAGATTCTCCATCCGTCCATGGGATATTGCCAATTTTATCGCCATATGACCATCTAACCGCGCCACACATTTCGTAACCCCGACGAGCAGGGTTTATATAGCTTTCGGCTTGAGTTCGAGAACATTCTGGGCTAAACCGGTAAGAATTCGCTCCAGAAGGTTCTTCATCCGGCCATGGGATATCGCCAATTTTCTCGCCAAATGGCCATTTTACCGCGTCTGTACATTTCGTAACAATATGTTATTAACTTTATCTTTAAGATAAAGAAATTATCTAAAAAATGAAAAGAATTAAAACCATACCTTTCTTTGTCTACTGTCCTTGTCATCTTGGTCAATTCTTTAATAACTTCATACCGATTCATTTTAAGTATGTTTCCTAAGAAATGTTCTTCCGATATTTCAAGCTGGAAAAAAGATTTCATCAAGCAAAAATATTTAAGGGATCTAATTTTAAAATATTTATAATGGGGAATATGTTTTAATAGATAACAAGAGATTTCATTAAGGTTTCTGAAGATTGCTCATATTATCGTATGCAAATGTGATTGTTTAAGCTAAATCACAAAACAGGACTAAAAGGAATGGGGAAATTAATATTTCTAGAAATGGGATTTAAATGCAAAGTTAACAAACATAAAAAAGTGCAATTTTTATTATAGTGAGTAGAAAAGTTCAATATTCACAAAAGAGTATTAATTTCGTCATCATATTCTTGAAGCTATAGGAAATTAGTTTAATTATTGCTTTAAACAAGACATTAAATTAATTCTTATGCGATAGCAAAGTCTGTCTAATCTGCCCCAATACAGGTGATTGTAGGTAATATTTGATTTCTATACGAAAACAATAACAACATTTTTGGTATTCAGAAATGAATTTAGAAGATTTCATTAAAAAAGTAAAAGACATGAGGAAGAAGGGGTAGTGGTATATACTTGGAAGATAAAACCTAATTCGGTATTTTCTAATATTTATATCACACAGAAAACATATTTTCTCTTCTCACTGAACTTCGTTTTTTTTTAATTTGTCCTGACAAAAGGCAAATTCCTTTCTTAGATTAATCTCAAAAATGGATGTAAATAGAAAAGAAATATTTTGTACAAATTTTTTATATTGATTCCATATTGATGGAAAATAAAATTTCAACACCAAGAAGAAGTTGTGCTGGGTAAACGAAATTTGAGAGGAGTGTTTTCACATCTAAAAGTAACATCTACTCAAATTTTGTGCTAGACGAATAAGTGTGACGCTAGTAACACCACTACGAACATGCAAATCACGTTTTATTTAACTATCGCAAAATAAACTTCGCGTGCTTTATTTATCTTTCGGCTTTGGCATTGTGACGGAGATTTTAGTCAAGAATGAAAGAGACGAAAAATAGTACCACCAGCTTAATAAGTTTAAACGACACCGTGTATTAGGGTGACAAGAAGGCGAAATTTTTTTCATGATATTGTGGAAAGACTTGACAGAAGTGTCCTGCCGCACATGTGCCACTACTCAAAGGAAAGATTCGATGCATTTGAGTTTATGTTGATATCAGCGAACTCTTAATTAATTCATTATTTGTGGAACAGCTCCGAGCTAGACGCCCTGTGGAGACCATACCACAAATTCCAAATTACCTCCATCTGTGACTTCGGTGGTGTCAAGCTACAGCTCATTGGAGGTCGGAGTGGAGATCTGCTGTGTTTTCAGATGAGGATCGTTTCTATCTTGGTGCTAGTGATGGGCATATGCTAGAATAGAAGAAGCGAGCTTGGAAGCAAGCTTTCTGCGGAGTAGACATATTGGACCTACACCAGGACTTCAGGTGTGCGGAACAATTTCCTGATAGTAGGAGCACTCTTAACATCCCACATACCTTAACATCAAATCTTTAACTGCAGACTGCACCGGTTGTGGTGCCAATATTGGGCAACTTTCCAAGGACATTTTCCAACAGGATAATGCTCGCTCTTATACCGCTGTTATCACCCAACGCGCTCTACAAAGTATCGACATGTTGCCTTGGCTTGCGAGATACTCGATCTTTCTGTCATCGAGCCCTTATGGAACTTGACATAACGACAAATCCAGTGTCATCCACAATCACCGCCACATCCACCATTTCTGTCTTGACTGACCAAATTCAACGGACATGGAATTCCATCTCACAAAATACGGCATACGGCACGTGTACCGAACAATTGCATGCGCGTTTGCATTCCGCGTCACATTTGCTTGCCTTACATTGTTGTAACTACAGCGATTATCAGTGTACCACCATTTTACATTTGAAATGGTTCCGCTCGCGCAAACTTTAACCTGTGAGCCTGAAACATGAATTAAATAAATATGCTATCTAGACAAATGCTTTGCCTACATTTCATTCCTTTAAACTGATTTTTCTTAGCGTCGGGATTCTATTTCCCATCAGCGTATAAAAGATTGCAACTTAATATCAATGTTTAAGCTGTAATCAAATTACTTTTAATAAATCTTACACACAGGAAATAAGTGAAACAAACTGTACTTATTATTCATATTATGAAAGCGGAGTTAATTTACAACTGAGAAAGGTTATGTATTTGCCAGTGATAATTAGTTAGGAATAAAAATTCATAGATTATAAATATATGCTAGAAACATTCAGTTTTAGTAGTCTAAATACTAAATAACATGTAATAATATGTACAATTTAGTGAAACATTATAAAAAGAAAATCTTGAGTTTGGGTTTGTAAGGAGTTATTTTATTCTAACGAACTATTTTTAGTTTGACTTTCCTGTCCCTTCTGATTTCAGTTTCCTGCCGGAATGTAAATTTGTTATTATGTAGAATTCAAATTCAAACTGAATAGTCTGCTGATAGTTCCAGCAAGACCTGTTTCAGAAGCAGTATTTAAGCTGCGTTTCAGTAGTTTGTAAGGATTTATATATATTTTAAATAACCAGTTTTATTTAATTTTAAGCTTTCCTATAAGCCTTCATTCCTCTATTGTCAATACCAGAATATTTAAATTTGATAGCGCGAGTGAAGGAATGAGAATTCTACATGGAGGAGGAAGAGTTTAAATGCCGAGATTTAGTAGTAAAGTTATTGCTGGTTTACTTGGCATAACATCATTTACTTTGCTGCCACTAGTTTGGACGCGGTTTTAATTAACAGGAGTTTTTTGAGCCTTGTAGGTTAATTTCTACTACTTGTCAACATCTTCAAATTTTTAGTTTAGTTCTGCGATTTCAGTTACCATCCAAGGGAGGCGTAGTGTGTTAGCGTCAAGTTGACGCATTGCATATTCTAAAGAGTTTAATAAAGGGTACTTTTAACCCTTCTTCTGTGTAGTTCCTACAAGAACTTACTACACGTTCAATTGTCACTTAGAAGATAAGCAAGTGGACCCTCCAAGTTTAAGAAGGGTAGTAGAGGACTTAGTTTCGATAATTATGCTATGAGTTTAAAATTAGCTCTCTAGTTCGGTGTTCACCTTTCAGCTTATACTGATATTTATCGGCTCGGCTTTGCTGTATGCAGTTGATTTAGCGTTAGTTTAAGCTAAAGAGCCAGTCATTTGATATCTTAATTTATTAGTGATTTGTAAAATTCTTATTTTCTGTTAATTTACGAAGCCGCAAGTGATTTGTGAGCATCTGTTTTAATCTAGTTTAAATAAAAAGGTTATTTAAATCTTTCTTCTGCCGTATTTATTATTAAAGACATAGTGAGAATTCGTCAGTTCGTCTTCGAAGTAAAGTTTATGTTACCAAAGAATACACATAGACTCTATAGGTTGTAGAGACATCATCATCATCATCATCATCATCATTATTATGATTATTATTATGATGATTATTATAATGATTATTATTATGATTATTATGTTGATTATTATTATGATCATGATTATGATGATGATTGTTATGATGATGATTATTATGATGATGATTGTGATGATTATGATTATGATTATGATTATGATTATGATTATTATTGTTGTTGTTGTTGTTGTCGTTGTTGTTGTTGGAAGCAGGCAAGATGAAAAATGAGCAATCGCCTTCGCCAGGAATCGAACCACGGACGTCTGGAATACCGGCCCAGCTTGTAAAACCACTACACCACGAAAGCACGCTTTTAAAGGGCGACTGAGTTTTTAGGGGACCCAATCGCCAAATCCTGGGTCAAGAGAACCATCATCCAACACCCTTTTAGTTCGGCGCCACCGTAGAGACATTAGGTATTTTTGGAAGCAGGAGAAATGAAAAATTAACAACGCCTTCCCCGGGAATCGAACCGCGGACCTCTGAAATACCGGCCCAGTGTGGAAACCACTATACCACGAAGGCACGCCAGAAGATGGGAGAAATACCTTATAATATTATTTCCATATACAATAAAAAAGACATCTTTTGTAAAACAAAATTAAACATATAATATAAATATGCTGGAAATCATAATCTACGAAGTGGGATCATTCATAAATCGAAATTTAGTATTTCTACTCATGAAGAAAGCAGATGTATGCAGTTATCCATATCAAAACGAACCAACCTCTTATTGTCAAATTTTGCCGTATATTTGATCTCAAATTAGCGAGAATTTCTTACATCAATTGAAGCAAACTTTCTTTAGAATAGTTCGGAAACTATCTTGAAATAGATGGGATTTCTATTTAGGAAGAATCGAAGAATATGATTTATAACTGCAGATTGAAACAAAATACTGTCATGATTCATGCAATGAACTTAAACATCAAGAATATCCTCTAATTTCCAACTTGGTGGGTAGAAAGCAATGTAATACAGTAACATAAATAATTAAATAGTACAGAACTATTAATAACCCATAAGAATACTTCTTTTCAGTTTAAAGATAAAGGAAGATTAATTTTGCTAAACAAATCCAGAGGCTTCCTCCAATATGTGATTCCTTTTTGCTTCTGAAGCAATACTCCCATGGGGCAAATGAGAACAAATATATCTTACAAAATATATATCCACTTAAAAGAGTGACGAGAGAAAACTTTGTTTACATGTCTTTTTAAAGAAGGGAAATGTATCGGATTTCAGTTTATCAACAACTTGATTCATCAATAACTGAGATAATATGTTGAGAAGAAGAATCGATATATGCGTTAAGCAGCACACCACTTCACCTCTTTACGGTAGCTGCCTGCGATACAAAGATAGTAAAGAAGTCTTGCCTGAAAGGTGGAAGTAGCCGATATTGGAGATTTATTACCATGACAGTTAATTAGTATTGTTGCGCCTTTCCAAAATCTTGTAACGGTCGTGGTATTTTTCATATTGTTTAAAGCACAGACTTATTGTTTTAATATTTCAAGTTTACATCCTCTAGTAAAAGAAAGATCTAATGGAGAATCGTTTTTTCTCGTAATCCGTTTCGGATTTTAATTTAA